TAAACGTTTAATGGCGTTTTCTTTTCTCGAAAAAAATGTCACCTTCACCTCCTCTGCGTTGGAAAGACCAGGTGGAGAAGGACTTGGCTTCACTTGGCATTTTCAATTGGCGTCAGTTAGCACAGAAGAGAAATGACTGGCGTGCTGTTTTGGACTCGGCCAAAATCGCTTAGGCGGTTACAGCGCCAATTAAGAAGAAGAAGTTGTCTACAAGTGTGTTTTAAAGGTTTTTGATTCGATTCACACGTTTTGGGCACAGCAACCCAAAATCGTACAAATTCATAGAGTACCCCAATACCTGTAATTATTGTACCATGCTGTCCACCTAAGTTTTATTTCTGAAACTGATTTCCGAAATGTGACATAAAGGTCTTTCTGACTGTTCACACATCGAAATAAAATTTTCTTCTTCAATTTGACTGCGAATTGCGTGGAAATATTGATGTCTATTACGGTATCTGCCGGATGCTATCCGCAGGGGTCTAATCCAATTCAAACTGTGATATGAAGCTACTGTAAAGGATTACACTCGTGCGAATGTCCTCAATCGCACAAAGATTTTCATTCACACTCGCGTGTTACGACAGTGCGAATTGGATTAGATCCGTGCAGATGGCATCCGTCGGATACCGTAATAGTTATGATTGCCAGGTCTGACACTCTCTATACAACACATCGTATAATTGCACCATGGCGTAGGTCTACGTGCTGCTACAACAATCGGTTTGGCCATTGGTGCTCAACCTTATGTACATAAATTAATTTTTTTTGGTCGAAGGTGTGGTTTCAGCACCTTTTATTAAAATTTACATAATATGCGAAAGGTCGGGCAAAGTGCAACGATATTTAGCAAGAGACACAGATATAAAACAGGTTTGCATATATTTTATATGCTTCTTATACATACATACATACATACATATCAAAAATTATAAAAAATACCATATTTGGAATAAATATACAAACTTTGACCAAAATTACCATGCTAATTATTCAGTTTTTTTCATTGTTCGAAATTTGTTGTTTCCATTTAATACTTTTTTACGTTGCGCAAACATGTGCAAATACATTTGCGGAAAGAGTGGTATATAAAAGAGCATCACAATCCAAAGTAGCGTAAAATATGAGAATGTGGCATTCCATTTATTTGGCAGTTGCCATGACCAAATTGTATTTGATTTGGCATAGCTCTGTGCCCACCAAAAACACAGCAACTCTCCAGTAACTCCAATTGGGTACAGTGCGATAAATGTTGTGTAACGTAGAAAGACAACAATATACGGCATAACATTCAAAATGTTTAATGCATAGTAGCCGTATCTTAAGATCTCCGTTACAGCCCAAGCGAAAAGTGCGATGGGAAGCCCAGGTGACACCTTTCCACTCGGCGTAGCCATAACAACTCCAATTACAACCATCATTCGACTCAGTACTTGAAATGCAGTTATCACTGGATTTGACTTTACTAGACCAAATGCTGCATTTACAATTTCAACAATTGCAGCATTTTGGAAAACAATTACTGCAAGATAAGTGTAGTCCCAAAGTGAAACTTGTGCCCGGAATTCTGGCCCTTGCAGAAGATAGAAATTTATCAATTGGAATAGGATTAAACTCCAACCAGCCACTTGTACGGCATTGTATAGGAAAAGGTAACCTTTGACCATTGCTCCCGGTTGCTTTGATGTCGATTCCACCGAAGTCGAATTTGCTGTCATATTCGTTTAATATTTACTTTCAAAATCAAAGACTCGGCAGATGTTCACGTCTATACAGTTTTACTGTTCTCCACAAAATGTGTTCCAATTCGAATTCATATATTCATATAAGTGCTCGGAATTCACCACATCAGTGTGCCCCTTTTTTGTTGCTCGACTGTGATTTAATAATAATGTAATAGGCGAAACACAATGCCGGCGAACGGCAAACTTCGCAGAATTTAGCGATGCTGTCGTTCATTGTTCGCCATTATGGTCCACCACCGAAAAATGGTGCAAAACAAATGAAAGGAGTATCAAACGACGCGTATTACTGCCAGTATTAAGAATTTTTTTTTTACCGTTTAAACGATATTCGTAAAAACAGTTCGATTTTAGTCCACTTTGTCAGTACTAAATGTACGTTACTAAATCCTTTAAATGTACACATATTGGTATCTAGATGTTCACTATAGTTTACTTTAACTGAATTTGTAAAAAAAATCGCGAACCTTATTGATTTAATTAAATATTATTGCGAAAACAATGTACAAAAACCGGCGTCGCATTTATTCGGCTGCATATAGCTGCAACTAAGCTAGGAATAATAAAAACATGGTATTGGGCACTGTCACACGGTCAGTATTTATTGACGTGATCCAAGTATCGCGATATTTATTGACGGAGTAGCATGCAGTATTGATGGATCGTGATCCATATCGCAAAATTTCTAAAAATTTTGAAATCGATCGCGGATCGCGATATTGTCAATAAATATTGAGCGTGTAGCACTTTCATAATGCGAACATCGAAAACATATTCGCTATGCTTTCGTTCTCGTTGCTTAAAACCTTTCAAAACAAATTGAAAAAATTTTAATTACCATGGGAAATTTTAAAATAATTGTGATAATTACTGACTGTGAGACAGGGCCCATAGCTTGGTGTTGCCAATATAATAGGGGTCTTCATCACAAGTGATAAACTGCTGATAAACTTGATAAATTTATCATTTTGATAAATGAACTGTCAAACTTTAAGGGCCGGTTGTTCAATGTCTGGTTATCACTACTTACCGGTTAAACATCATTATCGACGTTTTCGACATCATACATATAACATGTGATCGATAAAGCAGTCGTTTAATTAATCGTTGCTTCTACCGCCGATTAGTGCTAATCAGACATTGAACAACCGGCCCTTAATGGAAATCTATTTAACCAAACTTAACTTTATGAAACGATTTTGGTGGATAAATGCATAAATTTCAGCCAAATTAAACCCTGACAGGTTGCCTGGTGGTCGTTTTTGCCACGAACACCTAAAAAACAAATGAACACAATTAGTTGCATTTAGGTGACGAATTTTGTATGGATAAATGTACATTTAGAGTAGCATTTAGAGCTAAATGCACTAAATGTGCTTTTACGCATAAGCAAAAACGGCCCATAAGTTAAATAATAAAAAAATTTATGCAATTATTTATCAAGGTGCGTTCATGTAAGAATGTTGATAAACTGATAAATTTATCCCTTTATTAGAACAAAGTTCTGCCAGTTCTTTAGTTGTAAAAAACTTGAAGTCTTTCACATTTATTGTTACTGGCTTCACTAATTAAAACCTTTTCTAAAAGTAATACATTGGCACCACCAAGCACCTCCATGTTTTAATTACAACTAGCAGAATAGATGCGACGCCGGTTTTTTGTACATTGTTTTCGCATTAATATTTAATTAAATCAATAAGTGTCGCGATTTTTTGTTACAAATTCAGTTAAAGTAAACTATAGTGAACATCCACAAACCAATATGTTTCATTTAGTGCATTTATTAACGTGAATTTAGTACTGACAAAGTTGAGCTGAATGAAACGGGTTTTTCGCAAATAACTTTTGGAAGGTTTACAAAAATCAGTTTCCGCGTTCTGCCCCTCTTCTCCGGCAACACAGAAAGAAAGAACAGTAAGTTGGCAACCCTGAAGTGCAGACGTGTTTTTTGGCGAGAGTAACAACCGAGTGTAGAATATATTAAAATTCTCTATTAAAGCAATTTTTAAGACTACGAAAGTGTGTTTTATATTGTTTATTGGTTACAATATACCTGAAAAACTGAAGAATGCCTCCAAAAAAGCGTAGAAGTGTTGTTTCTGCAAAACACTGTTGTGCTCAATGCGAATTGATAATCAAAGAGGAAACAGAAGATTCCATCGAATGTGACAAGTGCGCCAAAAAGTTCCACTCTCAGTGCACTAAGCTGGATAAACGTCAATTCCAACAGTTGTTAGAAAATGAGAGCGAGATGTTTGTTTGTCATTTGTGTAATGGAGGAGGAGAATTGGAAAGAGATTTAAAAGAAATAAAAACAAAGTTGATACAACTAGATCAGCTGAGTGAAATACAAAAATCAATGACATTTATGTCGGTACAGTACGATGAGATATTGAAGGGAGTTATTGAAAATAAAAAGAAACTAAGTGAAGTTGAGAAGGAGAACTTGAAGTTGCGTAGAGAAGTGAACGATTTAAAATTGTCTGTAAAGATGCTGAATGATGGGCGTGTGAAGAACGATTGTATTGTGAGCGGCTTAAAAGTATCAGATGGAGCCACAGCAGTTGAATCTGTATTAACACTTACGAAGAATGCAGGTGTCGATGTACAGAGGGAACATATTGAAGATGCTTTTTTTCTGCCTAATAACAAACCAACCAATGGGAAGAAAACAGTTGTAGTAAAATTTTCTAATAAATCAGCTAAAGACA